AACAAGCATGGCTGCATTCCAATAAAACTTTACAAAAACACGTGGACCGGAGTTGGCCTACGGGCTCTAGTTTGTCAACCTCTACTCTGGAGCAATGACTAAAAAAATAACACCAAGAGGTAAAAGCAAAAAAGTCAACAGAGAAGATAAACAGGATGCTAAAATATCAGCAAATACTAACTAATACACAATTCATTCAAAAGGCAACAGAAAAGAAGAGGGACAAAACCCAAGCAGGACAAATAGAAAACAAATACCAAGATGGAAGGCAGACCTATCTGTATCATTCATTAGATTAAATGTAAAAGAAAGGGGTTGTCAGAATGAATAAAATAGCAAGACCCAAGTATATGCTGTTTATAAGAAACACACTTTATAAAGACAAACAAGCTACCAGTAAAAGGTTGAATAAAATTTTCTACGCAAACACCAAGGTTAAGAAACAAGAGTGCCAATATTAATTATCAGATAAAATAAACATCAAAAAAAAAATTACTAGATATCAAGAGGAATATTCCATACTGATGAAAGGGGCAATTCATACCTATCAAAAGAGCTGCAAAATACATGAAACAAGAAATTGATAAAATTAAATGAAAAAACAGATTTACAACCACAGCTGGAAATTTCAACACCTCTCTCAGTAGGTGAAAGAAAAAGCAGACCCCCCCACCCCTGCCGGCAACTCCCAAAAAAATCAGTAAGGATATAGATTTGAGCACCACAAATCAATGTAACCTGAAATGACAATAATGAAACGTTACACTCATTCAAGTGCACGTGGAACATTCACCAAGACAGACCATATGCCAGGCCATAAAACCAGTGTCAATAATTATCAAAGAAGTTCTAAATAACTTCTGGGTCAAAGAAGAAAGCACAAGAAAAATTAGAAAATATCTTCTAATAGACAGTAGTAAAAAGACAACCTATAAAAATCTGAGGGATGCAGCTAAGCAGTCTAAAGGAAAATTTACAGCTTTAAATGCTTTTATTAGAAAAGAAGAAATATATAAAATCAGGGAGTTAAGTTCCCACTTTAAGAAGCTAGACAAAGAATAACATTAAAATACAAAACCAATAATAAGAACAAGGATATAAATAAATGAAAAAAAAAAAAAAAACAATAAAAAGTTGGTTCTCTGAAAGAATTGATAAACACCTAGCAAGGAAAAGAGCAAGTAAACATATATTACCAATATCAGAAATTTTTAAAGGGACATAACTGTAGATCCTACAGATATAAAAATTATAAGGGAACATTTTGAGCTAATAATTTTATGCTAACAAATTTGACAATTTAAATGAAATGAAATATTCCTTAAAAAACACGAATTACTAGAAGTGATCCAAAAAGAAACAGAAAATCTACACAATCCTGTAACTATTACAGAAATTGAGTCCATAATCAAAACCATTCCACAAAAAACCTTTATGCCCAAATGTCTTCCTGGTAAACTCTACCAAAAACTTAAAAACAAAAACCACCCTATACACACTGTTGGAAAATAACAAAAGAGGAACTTCTTAACTATTTCTATGAGGTCAGCATAAATCTGACAACCAAAACTTGACAAAGATTTAAAAAAAGAAAAAAATTTCAATCTAGTATTTCTCATGAACAAAGATATAAAAATACTTAACGAAACATTAACACATCAAGTCCAGTAGTACACAAGAAGGATAATACATCAGGACCAAGTAGGATTTCTCTCAGGAATGCAAATCTGATTAAGCATTCAAAAACCAATTGATGTCATTCAAAATACTAACAAAATAAAGATACTAACTTAAAAAGATACTAACTTAAAAAGATACAGAAAAGGCATCTGAAAATATTCGACATCTATTCAAACTTTCAGCAAAGTGGATATGGAAGGCAACTTCCTAAACCCAAAAGAGGACTAACTGGACAATCTAAGAGCCAGGTTCCTGGGGAAACACTGGACTTCCCCTCTCTATTACTGGAAACAAGACAAGGATATCCACCTTTCCCACTTCTATGTGACAACAGACCAGAGGTGCTAGTCAGTGCAATCAGGCAAGAAAAAGAAAAGGCATAAAGACTGGAAAAAAAAATAAACCTGTTGTTAATAGCATACCAGTAGGATTGTGTGCATAAAAAAACCTGTGGAATATTAAAAAAAAAAAAAAAAACTATCAGAATAAGTCAATTTTAAAAGGTTGCAGAATACAAAGTTGATATACAACAATTAATGTCTATACAGAAGCAGCAAACAATTTGAAGATGAAATTTAAGTAACAGTTCCATTTACAATAGCATCAATAATATAAAATATTTAAGAAAAAATTAACATTAGATTTGTAAGACTTCTACAGTAAAAACTACAAACCAGGCTGAATGAAGAAAGAGGTAAGAGGACTGTAAAATTTGTGTGGAATACAAAGGATCTAGAATAGCCAAAACAATCTGACAAAGAATAATAATGTTGGGAGGGCTTATGCTACCTGATTTTAAGACTTACTATAAAGCCACAGAAATAAAGTGTGGTATTGGCACAAGAACAGGCATAAAAATGATTGGAACAGAACAGTCTAGAAATAGACCTAGACATACATGGTCAATTTATTTTTGACAGAACTGCCAAGTCAATCCAATGAGGAAAGAGAAGTCTTTTTAACAAACATTGCTGGAACAAGTGGATATCCACATTATAAAAAAAACAAAACTAAATCGTGACTCCTATCTCATTCCATATACAAAATTCATTTGAAATGGGTCATGATTTAAATGGAAAAACTAAAACTATAAACCTTCTGGAAGAAAACCGGTGCAAAGAGTAGGCAAAGATTTAACCATAAAAGAAAAAAAAAATCATAGACATGACTCCATCAAAATTAAAAATATCTGCTCATCAAAATCACTAACAAGATGAATATGCAACCCCAGATTCGAAAAACACATTTGCAGCCCATACATCTATCTGACAAAGGACATGTCTCCAGAATACATAAAAGAACTCCCACCAATCAACAGTAAAAAGACAAAAATCCAATTAGGAAATGGGCAAGAGGCTTACATACCCACCTCAAAATGAAGATATCTGAACGGTCAACCAGCACACAAAAAGGTGGTCAACATCATTAGTCACCAGAGAAATGCAAATTAAGACCACAATGCAATACCCATCTTGTACCCTCTAGAATGGCTGAAATAAAAAAGACAGCACTACACGTTGGCAATCATGCAGGGCAACCAATACATTCACACAATACTAGTGGGGTATAAAATGGTACATCTAGTTTGGAGAACTGTTTGGATGTTCTTTTTTTTTTTTTTTTTTTATTCTTATGTTAATCCCCATACATTACAACATTAGTTTTAGATGAAGTGTTCCATGATTCATTGTTTGTGTGTTTGGATGTTCTTATAAAGTTTAACACACACACACTTACCCTGAGAACCAACAATGCTACTCCTGGGTACTGACTCAAGAGAAATGAGAACATATGGCCACAAGACATTTTTTATAGAAATGTTCACAGTGACCTTATATATAACAGTCTCAAACCGGAAACAACCCAAACATCCACCAAAAGGAGAGGGGGTAAATGTTGTCTATTCATACAGTGGAATACTACTGAACAATGAAATAATAACAAACTCCTGATACACACAATACAAGGGTGAATTTCAAAACCATGTCAAGTGAGGGGCGCCTGGATGACACAGTCGGTTGAGCGTCCGACTCTTGGTTTCAGCACAGGTCATGATCTCAGGGTGGTGAGATCGAGCCCCATGCCTGGTTCCATGCTCAGCACGGAGTCTGCTTGAGATTCTTTTCCCCTCCCTTCCCCTCTGCTCCTCCCACAACTTGTGCACTCTCTCTAAAATAAATAAATAAAATCTTTAAAAAAAAAAAAAAAGTTAAGTGAAAGAAGCCAAGCACAATATGATTCCCAATATGATTCCATTTTTTATAAATTCCAAGAATAATCAAAATTAATGCATAGTCACAGATATGACAAATGGGTGCTTAGGGCAGTAGAGGCTTGGGGTTGCTTGAAAAGGGATGCAAGGAAATGTTGTGAAGAGACAGAAATGTTCTATGTCCTGCTTTGGGTGGTAGATACATTGCTGCATATAACTCTAAGAACTCTGAGCTAACATTTTAGATCTGTTCATTTTATTGTATATTATGTCTTGATTATTAAGTAGGCTTCACATCCATCACAGAGCCCAATGAGGGGCCAGAACCCACGACCCTGAGATCAAGACCCTAGCTGAGATCAAGAGTCAAAAGCTTAACTGACCAAGCCACACAGGCGCCCCTATTATCTCCATTTTTTAAATCTCTGAAAGGCCATTTAAAAAGCATAGAGGGCAATCCAAAATATTAACAGTGATTGCTTCTGGGTGATGGGATTATGGCTAATATTCTTCAGTCAGTTCACACTTTTCTAATCTTTATCATTTTCTGTAATGAACTTTCCCCCATTTTCTTACCCACATTTTGTCGTTTCACAGAGATACAACAAGTGACCACTACGTATCTCCTGAGGGAAGGATTTTGGGTAATGAGGGGAAGTATGTCAAGTTCTCTTTCTACAGCAGGCATGTGGTTCAGTGTCTCCAAGGGATCCGAAATGAGGTCGGAAGCCCAAGCAGGAGCATCAGGGCGGACTGCAGGGAGGAGGAGAGGGTGGATCGGACCCAGATGAATTCAGCTCTGACCCTGTTCCTTCACTGAACGTATGGGCGGGTCGCAGAGCCTCTGCTTCCACACCCCTGAAATGGGAATGACACATATCCTGTCTGCCTCAAGGGGGTTTTACAAGTTTGTTAACTGCAAGAGCTGCAGGTCTACAAGGCACAGAAGGAATCTGGGTAGCAGTAACTTCTGATATTTTGTGGAAAGTTAGAAAAAAAGTCTTTCTCGAAAGTCAGATTTAGGACTTAACAATCCTGTGAGAAGAGGGAAGAAAAGCTATTGCTAGAACAACTCTGCCCTTTTAATTCAACAGTCGAGAACTCTTACCTATTGGTGTGGTAGTAGTGATTCTGCAGAGCATAGGATATGCACTGAGTGTTTAACCGTTTTCTCTCAACCTCCTGCCAAGTATCTTCTGTCCATTTTCTCTTGATCTGCTTCTCCTTGTGTTTTTTCCCCACATATTCGGCATAGGTCTGGATCCGATAGCTTTCTGCATATTTGCTGGTATTGACAGCTACAAGGAAAAGAAAAAAATCCGTGTAAGAAAGTCTAGCCTAGCCCCAGAGATGTCACTTTTGAAATGTGGCCTGAGGTCGTCAAAGAAACCAGAAATTCGGGTCTGAGTTCTGACCACAGCTCCACCACTGAGAAGCTGAAGGGGGGGGGTTGGGGGGGGGGGGGCTTGGGGATGTCCCGTGGGCTCTCCAAATCTCAGTGTTCTCGTCTGGAGAAAAGAATCACTGAGCCCCAATCTTCTTGATGGCCCGAGAGTGCTCTGTAAACTATAAAGAACCATAATGGTGGTAAGTGAAAGCTATCTGCAGGTAACATTACTGCTTGAAAATTACTCATTTTCAGTGTAAGAAAATGGGGGGAAAAAAAAACACTAAGGGGAAAACTGCAAACCCTTACTTGTTAAAAATGAAAATGAAAGCAATATTGACAGCAGAGCTGACCACTGTGTCAGAAACTGAAGGTCTACCCTCTGTCTGTGCCCGGGTTTTTGCCCACGTGGTGTCTCATCTCACAGTTCCTCCATCTGCAAGGGAGGAACTGCTTCTACTCACGAGAAAGCGGGGGCACAGAGGAGGGGGGGCTGCCACGGGCCACACCGTGGGTCAGTGGCAGTGCTGGGGTGCAAAACCAGGCTGCTCTGACCCTAAGGCCAGGGCCTTTCCTGTCACTCTGCACTTCACTTTGAACTCTGCAAATTCAAGATATCCCCACCATACTTGAGACACGGCTCTTCTCCTTCCGCTTTTAAAGACTGCTAATTCTCTGTAATGTGCTTCTGGCTGGCAGGAGCACTTGAGAGCTGGAGCTTATTCCCTCCCTGGCGTTAACATTTCACTAGGGCCAGGTCGGTTTCCTTTGAATCTTTGCTGCCTGCTCCTCGGAAGCTAGTGGAAAGAATGTGCTGGGAGCGTGGGAGTGAGGATCCATGGGAGACCTGCTGGCGGATGGGCAGCCATTCGCTGGTTCTGGCTCCTGCAGTTTGAACATACACTCTCCTAGCCCACCATCATTACCACCGGTTACTACCCACACTGGTGGCGAGACAGTGAGCGTCTGGCCATGCTGGTCCGGGCCGTTAGGAGCAGACTTGGTACCTGGGCAGCTGTACAAGCACCATGATGTCTAAAATGCAGAGTCTGTGTACCCACTGCTAGCAACATTCTTGGTACAGAGTCGTTCTCACTAAATACCATGTGAACGAATGCACGACAGAATACAAGTGGTGACAAGAATTCATTCCTTAAGTATATCAGCGCCAGACAAGGAATCCAGTCCATCAGGGACCTTAAGTCAGAGGGCAAGACAATTGTATGAGAGGCAGAAGCTCCACGTATCCGACACCTGACGCTTTTCATCTTTGCTCCAAGTGGACCAGATCTGCCTAAAACTTCCAAGCACAACCGTGGTTTACAGAATGTCATGCCCTAAACGTTTAGCCATCTAAGGAGCAAAACATCACCACCACCTGGTACCACCACAAAACAAAAAAACAAAAACAAAAACAAAACTCTACTCTTCAAAAAAATACAAATTTTTACTAAGAAGTTTGTGTAACTTTTCAAATACCTATTCTAGAGTTAAAGAGAAAAAAAGGGGGTGGGGGACCCCAGAATATTACAGAACTTCCCTATTATACAAAGTCTCCCAAAGAAGGAGAGTGAGTTACTGAAATGTGAGCTCAAAGCAGCGTGCTCTGACTCACTCCCAAGTAGATAAACAGAAAAAGCATCCAGTTCTGGAGATGTGCGACTGACCAAAGTCACTCCTCAGCACAGAACCACAGAAACAGGATCCTTTCTCGAAAATCTTACTCCTTGGGACAGCTACTTTTCTTGCTTTCAACGTCCACATTTCTGACTTTCTCCATTCATTTAACCAGCTGACCATTTAAATATCCAACAAACAGCACCCACCCATGCTTCCACCCGGCAACTGCTCACTGTCCCAGGGACCATGTTAGATATTCAGTAAAACAAGACAAGATTTCCACTCTCTTAAGCTTATCCTGTCACCTGCAAACTTCACGTAGGGGTGATTTCCCTGTAAGCATAAGACTATCTTACTACTACGGGTTAAAGTATCTATGAGATCCATAATAAGAACCCACAGATTCTACCATTATTATTTGGTCCTGATTGTTGGCAAATAAGCACCTCCTGGATTTTCCTCTTTAAGATCCATTCTTTATTCCAGCAGGTTTATTCTGCAGGCAGGCCCCAGAGGGATGCCAACTGTAATAACCCCGCTCTCGAGTTTCACTTGGACTCCCAAGTAAAAGAGGAGGCTTGAGTCAATATTCCCCATGAAAGCAAAGGTGATGATAGGGTCATAAAGGAGCCAAGATGATCTATTTAACAGTATCCGGTTGTTTCCAATAATTGAGCTCGCAGCCCCAGGGACAAACGTTACAAACAACTCCCTAACCACGGCGGGGAATTTATCCGAGCACACGTGGAATGAGGATCACTTAAAAGGGGAAACAAATAACAACCCACTTTTCACCGCTGGGCTTCACACGGCAGTCATTCACCAGCATTCCCTCACATCCCAGCAGCTCTGGAGCTCTCGGCCTTTAATGTGGAAGCCAAGCTCTGGCTCCAAGCCACCCCTCCTCGAATGGATGAATCAGCAAAATGAATTGGCTGTCAGCTGTGTCCTCCAGTGATTCCAGCTTGCCTGTCAGAAGCAGCATGGAGCAGGCTGCCTGGCAACACTACCCTTTTCCAAATTTGTCAGGGAAATGATTCAAGACCATCTTTCAGTTGCGCCACTTGGTTAGAGCCTCTGGGGCAACGCACATATGCCAAGGGCCCGCCCGGCTTCCCGGTAGGTGAGCGAGGGCAGCTCCCCTCACGTGGGCTCACCCACTCACAGCTTCCCCAAGCCAGCTCTGTTCACTCTGCACCCATTACAGCATTTCATCTCCATGGGGGCCCCGCCAGGAAGGGACGCTCTAGTCACCACGCAGATAAGAGAGACTGAGATCAGGGCAGCAAGGCTGCTTGCCCAAAGTCTTGTAGGTAAGCCACAAAGCCGGTTTGGAACCAAGACATGATTTTTTTTTTTTTAATATAATACTGCTGCATGTCTGCCATATTTTTTTTTAATGTATTTTTATGTTTATTTAGACTGACAATTGTCTTCTAAATGGATCCTTTACTAGGAGTTTTAAAGACTTACTTAAAATGTTTCAGACTTCTTTCCCTAAAAATTAAATTAAATAGATGAAAAATCTTTGAAAAAAAAATTAAGAACTTACCATTACTGTTAGGCAAAGTCTCTCCAACTAAGTTGACAGAGATACATTATGATTATGGACAAGAGGACTTCAGATATAGACTCCTTCCAAAATTTATCTATAGATTTACTGCAACTCCAATAAAAAGAAATTCTACATTTTAATAGAACACTGAAAAAATTAAAAACGAAATTTAAAAAAGTCTCAATAGAAAACAGAGCAGGGTTAGTCAGGGACTGGGGTAGAAGGTCAACTGCAAAGGGGATGAGGGAATTATGGGGGTGATGGAGCCGTCCTGTATCTTCACTATGGTGGTGGTTACATGATTGTATGCATCTGCTGAACAAGAGCTGTACAACAAAGAGGGTATCTTTACTGTACAAAAATTATACCCCAATTATTCTGTGGAACTGGAAAGGTTAACTCCAAAAGTTAAATGGAAGAACAAATGGGCCAACAAAAGGCCCAGACCTTTCTGAAGAAGAGTAAACAAGGGGGACGTTGCCTTGCTAAGCTATAAAAGCTTATTGTAAAGCCAGAGTAACTAAGATGGTGTAGCAATGGGAGAGAGATCAACAAACTGACCAACAATATAGAAGAGCCTAGAAACAGACTTATGCATCTGTGAAACTTTGATTTTTGACAGAGACAGCAAGACAGAGAATGTGGAAAAGGAAAAGCTGGAAAAATTGTTTATCCATAGGAAAAAAATGAAATTGGATTCTTAGTCACACCATGCTGAAAAATCAACTCCAGATGGATGAAGAACTGAAATGTCAGAAGCAAACTTTGAAAACTTGAAAAGAAAATATAAATGAGTATCTTTCTGAGCTTGAAGCAGGAAAGAATTTATAAAGACACAAAAAGTGTTATGCATTCAACAAAGGTCAATTAGTATGACTCCATTAAATTAAAATTTCTGTCCATCAGTAGACACTTCAGAGTGAAGACAATCCACAAGCTGGAAGAAGATATTTGTAATGCATGGAACTGGTGAAGGATTAGCACCAGAATACATAAAAACGCCTACAAAACAAGAAGAAAACCCTCAACAACAAAAGGGGCAAAGACAGGAAAAGCATGCACAGTCATTTCATAGCAAAGAAGTATATAACGCCAATAATTACATAAAGAGACGCTCAAGCTCAGGCAAAGACAAGTTCTGAGAACAATATCATTTTGTGTGTTTTGCTGGCAAAAAAATTTAAAAGACCACTAAGAGCAATGGCTGAGAAGATGTGGAGCAACGGGATCGCTACTGGTATAACCACTGTGGAAAACAACTTCGCATTCTCACTTAATGTTGACCATTCACACATCCTATTACCCAGCAGTTCCACTCTTAGACATATATTAATACATGAGTATTATGTAAGAACTTTTTTTTTTTAAATATTTCATTTATTTATTTGACAGAGAGAGACACAGCAAGAGAGGGAACACAAGCAGGGGGAGTGGGAGAGGGAGAAGCAGGCTTCCTGCGGAGCAGGGAGCCCGATGCAGGGCTCGATCCCAGGACCCCGGGATCATGACCTGAGCCGAAGGCAGATGCTTAACAACTGAGCCACCCAGGCGCCCCACAAGAACTTTTTTTAAAAGAACACAATGTTTACACTATCCGAGAGAGAGGAAAGGAAAGAAGCAACCCAAATCTCTACCAGCAGGTGAATGGAAAAACTGTGTTAATAGTCCCACAATGGAATACTGTCTCAGAGTAAACATAAATGAACTACAGCAACATATAATAAGATGGATGGATCTTAGGAATATAATGGTGAATGAGAAATGCAAGTCCCAGAAGTCTATTTGCAGTCTGACACTCTTTTTAATACATTCTAAAACAAAAATCAAACAGAACATCCACTATATTCAGGGAGGGGTGTGTGTGTGTGTCAGAGACAGAACAAAAAAGCAAGAAAATGATCAATACAACTTTCAGGAGAGCAGTTGCCCCTGGCAGGAAGATGGGAGGAGGAGGAGCAACAGAGAGATGTAATTTATCAGCAATAGTTTAGTTCTTTGGTTCAGTGGTTTCACAGATGTTCATTACATCTTAAACAAACAAATTCTTTTAGGTTTTCTGTTGTTTATCCTGTCTAAGCACTAAGAGCCATTTCCAGTACAGACAGTCTAAGGCGGAAGGTGGCTGGAAGACGAGGTAGGAGTCTCTCCAGGTTCAATGTCCTCAGTGACACGGCGGTGCCCCCGAATGGTGTGTGTGGCGTGAGCAAGCGAGCGAGCACTGCGTCGCAGACCTTCCTCAGGAAGCGAGGCACATCAGCACCGTCTGGCCATCTGCAGGCTGCGATCGGTGGGGCAGGGACGCACCCTCAGCCCTGTGTGCAGCATCTGCAAAGGCCACCCGCAGCCGACACTAAGTCTCAATGTCTGATGCCGACATTCCTAGTAGTCCAGTTGCTACAGGAAGGAGAAGCATTTACTGGAAACTTACTCTGCCCACCATAGGGTTATCCTGACTGTACAGGTAAAGGCAGGGAGGCTCAGGAGGAGGGACTAGCCCAAGGTCCCAAAGCTGACGAGTGTTTGGGCCAGGAGCCAAAGCAAAGCCTACATTCTCTTCGTGACACCACGCGCACTGGAAGGGTCCCAGACAGTTGCCATTCAGCGTTGATGCAGGCATACACATCTGTCTTCGAGAGAATCAGTCTGTCCGTCTCTCCACAACAGTTCTGTGTACCCAGCAGAAGGAATCTCCACGCGATAACCCGGGACGTTAGCCCACCGGCAGCACCCTGGGTGTCAGCGGGTGCTTTCACGCTCAACCCTGCGTCCTTCAGACCCTCTCGATGCCTCCCTTTCCTCCTCCCACAGCCGAGGCTCAGGGCCCTGCACCATGTGCTGTCACTTTGGGTTTTCACCCCACGCCAGGGTGACGCCGAATGCTGTTTTGTGTTGGCTTATCTAAATAGGAACATACTGAATATGAGTTTTGTCATGTTTCCGTATTATTTTGATCAGGTTGGGTTGATAACAGATTGAACACTTCTTGACTTTTACCAGATAAGAGAATGGTGACTTTTATCTTGGATTCTAGTGAAAGCAAACTTTAAAATCTTTAAAGAAAGGCGTTCACAACAAAACACACTGAACCCCATCAGTCACTGCTAACGTTCTCCCGTGCTCGTGACTGCACGTCCCCGCAATCGATCCGAGACGCAGGCAGAGCCTAAGGCGCTGCAGTGAGGCTTCTGTCCCGCGTGTTCGGCCAGGTCAGGGCGAGCCGGCCAGCCCCGCGGCAGCACCCTCTGCTTTACCCTCTGCCGTACCCCCTTCCCCGCCTGAGCCGGTCCTTTCTCGAGTCTTGCTGAGAAGGCTAGGGTGCCGTCGAGGCCCTCAGGAGCAGCCCAGCTTGGCCTGGAGCCCGCCACAATTCTGCCTTGTTCCCCACATTCACCCAACAGGCCCAGCGCTCTTGGAGGCTGGGGCCCATGCCCTAGCCACGTTTGTAGGGCTGGGGTTCTACCTCGGTTCTTTTGCAGGAGGTTAATCTAAGATTACGGCGGGAAAGGGGGGTGCAGAAGCATAGCTTTTGTATCTGTTGGCAGCCTGTGTCCACCCAGGAGAGAAAATTCAGAAACTCTTCAGTTGAGAAGTCCGTGTTGAAGCCTGATCTGGTGCACGAGAGCCCTGGACTGCAAGCGAGGAGCTGGCATTGACTCTAAAGACAGGCTCCCTGGGGCAGGGACAATGGGTGTGTGTCGCCCCACCTGAGCCTCACCAGGACGCTGGGAAAGAAAGGAGACTCGGGAAGCTGGCCGGCTTGCCTCAGTCACCCAGTGAGGACTCAGGACACTGGTCTCCTGTGCTTCCTTTCATGCGGTGGGCACGGCTCCAACAGAGGGTAATTATTTTATAAAGATTTTTTTTTTAATTAAATAAGCTCCCCACCCAATGTGGGGCTCGAACCCACAACCCCGAGGTCAAGAGTCGCAGGCTCGCTGACTGAGCCAGCCGGCCGCCCCGAGACTAATTATTTTTTAAAAGCACTGAGGCTGAAAGAGTGAACACGAAGACACCCGAACGTGCTCCCGGCCCATGAAGAGGTCGGACAGCCAGAGATAACGAAGGAAGAGGCAGAAGGCATGTGACCCCGTCATCTCTGCCTCCCCGAGGGCTCCCCCAGAGCGCCTGACACACAGGAGGCCAGGCCACAGAGATGTGCAGAGCGCCCCCGAGCCCCCCTCCCTGGCTCCTCACGGCTGAGGGCGGGTGGTGGCAGCCCTGTGTGTTGACAAGGCTGAGAGGAGGAAGTGCATGTGACCCAGACCCCGCCACCTGCAGGTCACACCCACGACGGCGTGCTCCTTCCATTCACCTCCACAATTAGACCCTCATTTCACCTCCCAGTTCTCTAACAAAGGCCAAGGAAGCGGCAATGAAAACTCTCTACAAAGTGGATAAAGGCTGACATGTAGATATGACGATGTTTACTTAAAACCTAGGCCAAGAAAGAGGCAACAAAGTCAAGTGGGAAAACCACAGGTTCCAAGGCCACAGAGGCCTGGGTTCAAATCCTGCCCAAATCTTAACTCACTTGCCTCCGTGGCTTCATTTCTTTATCCATAAAATGGGCTCATCTACCTGCTTTATAAGGCTGCTAGGAAAAGTGGACAGCGTGCACGCAGCAAGCTTTTAGCACAGGGCCCAGTACATAGTAGGTGCCTAATTAACGAGGCTACTGCTGTTAAATCACAAAACCTATAGTTCAGACAAAAGAACTGTGCCTGAGCCAACAGAAGACGTTCTGCAGCTGACACAGAATCAGCAAGCTGGAACTCACCTCACCTTGGTGAGCCTGAAGGGAGAAGGGCCTCCCATAACCTGAGTCTGCAAGAGCTCACAGAATACTGCTGTCGTATAGAATGTGGATGCAATCTAGCAAAACCTTTCCCATGCAAAAGTGCAGAGAGAAAATGGAAAATACAGGGACCAGTACATCACCTGTACTTGACAAGTATAAAATCAAGAAGTCTTGGGGGCGCCTGGGTGGCTCAGTTGGTTAAGCGACTGCCTTCGGCTCAGGTCATGATCCTGGAGTCCCAGGATCGAGTCCCACATCGGGCTCCCTGCTCAGCAAGGAGTCTGCTTCTCCCTCTGACCCTCCTTTCTCTCATGCTCTCTGTCTCTCATTCTCTCTCTCTCAAATAAATAAAATCTTAAAAAAAAAAAAGAAGTCTTTAAGTATCATTTTTCAAAATTGTACCGAGGCCAAAGTAAGTCAAATCATTTTCACGAACTCCGCTGACAACACCATAATCAGCCTTACAGACGTTCATCTCAATCATTCATTCAACAAACCCTGGGACTCAGTAATGTGCAGGGCACTGGGGCATGGCAGAAGAAATGGGACATTCTCCGCCCTGAAGAGGCCGACAGTCTAGAGGAGAAAAAGGAAGGCAACAGACTGATAGCGAGCACCAGGTAGGCCAGAACCTAGGCATACTGCTTTTAACATGAGGGGGGCAGGAGGGAAGGAGAGGGGAAGGACAAATCCAAACCAGCAAAAAGTGGACTGTGAGGGAGTGGTTGCTAGTGAGGCTCTAAGTCCCCCCGAGGCCCATGCCAACCACCTTAGCGTCGAATGAGTGATGTCACTAAGGAACACTGCTTCCATTAACCAGCCTGGTGGTGCGTTTGTTCTCTTTTCATAGTTCCTGGCTGAAAAGTCGATGAGAAGTAAATAAAGCTACCATTTACTGAGTACTTACTGTATGTAAGAACTAGGCTAACTGCTTTACAAACAAAGGTACTTAGATCTCACTTGGTCGTTTGTTTGTCCGTCCATTAGTTTATGAATACAGACACTGATGTATTAAATTCTCATCTGTTCGTTCATTCATCTATCCATTCATTGAGGGACAAACATGCCATCTTCTAAGCCTCGGCAACTGGGGCTGTGAGGGTGGGTCAGAGACACAGGCCCTGTGTTCGCCGGGAGAGGGACAGTGTACGGAGCGCCACACGTGTGCTGAGGGTTGGAAATGGAGAGGCGCTCTGGGGGCTCCCTGGGCAGCTGGTCAAGCCCAGGATGCAGGGACCTGTTCCCTAAGGAAAAGACACTGGACTCTTTCCTGAGACTTCAAAGTTGGGAGAATACTGGGGTTGGGGACTGTGACCTAGGCAGAAGCAACACGAAGTGACCAATCTCTGAGTGAGGAAGCACGGCCATGACCAGGCCCGTGGCCACGCAGTGTGCAGTGGGAGCCACTGCTGGGTGCTTAATCAGGGGGAGAACATGATCTGACATGTGTTTCTGCAAGACCATGGTCCCTGAAGGCGAAAGAACAGGAATGGGAATGGAGACGGCCCAGACTAAGAGAAGAAGTCCAAACAGAACTCCAAGGAAGGCCAACATTTAATCATCATACACATGGGGAAGAACAGGCCTGGGTGCCTGGGAAGCCACAGGCTGAGGAGGCGGGGGACCAACCTAGAAAGTACGGTGCTGTGGAATTCAAGAAGGAACAGGCAGATATACTGACAGGCAAGAGGAGGGGAGAGTCTGGTGGCTTTATGGCACAGAAGTCACAGGGACCTTAGCAGAGCAGATCAGTGGTGTGAGACCACCACTAGATGACAGTAAGAGGTGACACGGCGCAGGCGACGCATGCAGAGCATGTGACTTCGCAGAAGGAAAGACATAATCAGGAGCAAAGGCAAACCGGGATCTTGGGAGTTTTTTGAAAAGATCGGAGGGATTGAGTAGGTTTCCACAGTGTTGGGAAGAAGTCAATGGGTGGGGTGGGCACAGGGGTAAGGGGCAGCTCGAGGCCCCAGAGAGGAGATGGGGCCCAGAGCACGTGGGTGGGATCCACTTCTGAGAGAAGAGAGTTGTGGGTGCAGAGCTTTATGAATCTGGGGGTAGGAAGCTGCCCCTGGAAGTTGGCTGTTTCCTGGGTGGAGGGACTGGGTCTTCCTGAGAGCCCCGGGTTTGGAGACTGAGAGGACAAGGGAAGGAGAACAGGCCATGGAGCCAGTTCCTGACAAGACCCAGCCAGAGAGAGTGGCCTTCTGTGTGGTGTTACCCATGTGCCTGCGCTGCTACTCCTCAAAACAACCCCACAAGTTGGGCAGTAAATTCTATTTTTACAGGCCTCCCTGACTTTGATGCCATGTTCTGACTATTTTAACCTGCCCCTCAAGGTCAGCAACAAAGTAGCCACTCTAAACCTAAGCCAAACAAACACACAAAAGAAGGTCTCAAGGGCCCACAAAGCTCCTTAAAAGATGGTGTGATGCGCAGAAGTTAAGAAGGAATTTTAGGATGGAGTCAAACAGGAGCAGAAAGACTTCCAAATAAGTTTAGAAATGAGAATTACCTTGAAGGGGAGAGGAGAGGAGAGAGAAAGAGAAAGAATGCCCCCCCTCTTTTATTTAAGACAAAATGCACAAGTGAAAATAAGAACTGGGAAGCAATCCCATACTTACCAGTCCCCCGTGAACCTGACAGACAGCAAAAAGACCTAAGTAATTTACACTGTGCTTCCTACTTCCTGGGAGAAAATCAAGATTGATGTCTCAACTACACGGGAATAATTTAAAGTAAAATCAAAAATCTAGATTCTACAAAACAGCAGATCCAAACCAGCAGATCCTAACAGTCAAGAACACTGAATAAATTCTACTCTAGGGAAGACCAAACAGTCTGTGCCTTAGTTATGCTCTTATATATAACAGTATCTTTTTTTTTTTTTAAAGATTTTATTTATTTATTTGAGAGAGAGAGGATGAGAGACAGAGAGTACAAGAGGGAGGAGGGTCAGAGGGAGAAGCAGACTCCCTGCCGAGCAGGGAGCCTGATGCGGGACTCGATCCGGGGACTCCAGGATCATGACCTGAGCCGAAGGCAGTTGCTTAACCAACTGAGCCACCCAGGCGCCCCTAACAGTATCTTTTTTTTTAAAGATTTTATTTATTTATGAGAGAGAGAGACAGAGACAGAGAGAGATCACAAGCAGCGGGGAGGGGTGGAGGGAGAAGCAGGCTCCCCGCCAAGCAGGGAGCCCGATGCGGGGCTCGATCCCAGGACCCCGGGATCATGACCTGAGCCGAAGGCAGACGCTTAACGACTGAGCCACCCAGGCACCTTATATAACAGTATCTTTAAGGTCTGCCTATATATATCACAAAGGAGTAGAAGTGAAAAATAATCATGGTTTATAGCACGGTTACGCTGCCCAAAGTGCAATATGAGCTCTCACCCTAATATGTTATCCTGTATTCTGTAGTAACTTAGCATTTTCATGCGCTTCCACACGTGCTCTCCCAGCTCTAATCCTACCTCCACAAAACAGCCCCCTTGTGAATATGACAAAACGGAGCCCCAGACAAGTGCCTTGCCTGACGTCACAGTGCCAGACAGTGGAAATGGCCAGATGTAAGGCACCGCGGGCACAACGCCCCTGCGGGGGAGCCGCTCGGGCCCCAAGGGCAGCACACCGCGTGCAACAGGTTTTAAGCTGCAAGAGCATCACCAAACAGCACCCACCTGAACTACACGCAACCCACTCTGATGCCTTCTGTTCTGTCTCTTCCTACCTTCTTTTTTCAGACTGCGGTCCACCAGCACTGAGTTCCTGACCCACTAATGGGCCCTGACCCGGAGTCTGAAACACACCACGGCTCGCTGACACCCACCATTCAACACGGCATTTCTGTGGGACAATGCGCTTCGTGTTCTAAAAGGTTAATCAACAAAAGAACTTCTAGGACATAACCGATTCACCAATCAGAGCCTCCATGTAACTGAACCGCTGGCTGGGGGAAGTGGCTGGGTCCACAGGCAGGGTGAAGTGGGTTCTTTAATCCGGACTAGTTCTCACCAACGCCACTCGGGATGCCAGATACAGATATGCACCCAATAAAAATGTAGACTGTAGGCACAAGACAATACGTCTGGCGGCTTGTTGAGCTGGTGATGAAGCATTAAATCTGCCACAATATTAGTGCTATGGTGATAAGGCATCAGTGCCCCATCTTTTCTCGACTTCCCATGGCCACGGTTGCAAAAAGCCTGACAGAATAGCTACATGTTCAGATTTAAAGGTTTCAACAGTGAAAAGCTTAAAGTCGTGTGTTTATTTATTTATTTATTTTTAAATTTTTATTTATTTGAGAGACAGCGAGAGAGGGAACACAAGCAGGGGGAGTGGGAGAGGGAGAAGCAGGCTTCTCACTGAGCAGGGACCCCGATGCAGGGCTCGATCCCAGGACCCCGGGATTACGACCCGAGCCGAAGGCAGACGCTTAACGGCGGAGCCACCCAGGCACCCCTGCAACTTGCTTTTTAAATTTAACTGTATTTCAGGGTGCTTAGCTGGCTCAGTAGAGCACGTGACTCTTGATCTCAGGGCTGTAAGTTCGAGCCCCATGTTGGGTATAGAGATTACTTAAAAATAAATTTTTTTTTTTAAAGATTTTATTTATTTATTTGACAGAGAGACACAGCGAGAGAAGGAACACAAGCACGGGGAGTGGAAGAGGGAGAAGCAGGCTTCCCGCCGAGGAGGGAGCCCGATGTGGGGCTCGATCCCAGGACCCTGGGATCGTGACCTGAGCCGAAGGCAGACGCCCAGCGACTGAACCACCCAGGCGCCCCAAAGTCTGTTTGCATATAAGCCAACCAGATATGGGTGATGCTGTGCCGCAATATTTACACTTTCATTAAATGTCTCTGCTGGATGTTTTGATGTGGTTTTCATTTGATAAACGAATTTACTTACACCTCATGACTCAGCTTATTTATTAACCAAGTGAAACCAGGAGGGAAGGAGGGGACCTGGAGAGAGAAGAATGACAGACCCTTATCAGCCAGGTAGGGCAGAGCTATCTCACCTGCAAGGTGAGTCATCCCCCCTGGGAGGGAGGGTGTCAGCCACCGAAAAGCAGCCTCTCCCAACCTGGTAAGGGAGTCGCAGCAATTCCACAGAAACCCTGACTGCTCTGTTTTTGGTTCCCTATAACGTTCCCTGCACGCCCCAGTCTGGCCCCGTTCAGCGCTCTCAGGATAGCACCATGATGCCACCCTGGGACCCAGAACCCTCTCCCGGGCAGTGCCTTTCGTCTCCTCCACTCTCCACCCCTGCAATGCACCTAAAGATGTGGAACATTCTGAAATCTACTCCCTCTTCAGTGCCCCCAGGAAACCATCTGTCACCACTGGAAAGTTTCAAAAAAATGCCAACACGACCTCACTTAACGTTGAGGGCAGCCACCTCCAGACCTCCTGGCCTTGTGATCACCCTTTGTGGAGAGAGGATCAGTTCCTAACAAAAGGAATGAAATTGGCTCTTCGGATATAGGTTGCTTTGGGACAATGAAATGCATTTGTTCGAATTGGCAATGTTTGACTTCAGAAACGAAATACCCAATAAAAACCCACACTTCTCCAAAGGAGAAGTCAATAATTAAAGTTAAGTCTCATTTTCCACATCAGTTTGACTCTTTACCTTGCTGAGATGTGCCCAACGACTAATTTATTTCACTGGTGGGTCCAATCTGTAGGCTGCACACTAAAACCTTAAGGATTACTAAACATCCCAAAGGGCAGCATGAAACTGGATGAGGGTTATTTTGATTTTAAAGTCCCATCCCGGGCGCCTGGGTGGCTCAGTCGTTAAGCGTCTGCCTTCGGCTCAGGTCATGATCCCAGGGTCCTGGGATCGAGTCCCACATTGGGCTCCCTGCTCGGCAGGAAGCCTGCTTCTCCCTCTCCCACTCCCCCTGCTTGTATTCCTGCCCTCGCTATCTCTGTCTCTGTCAAATAAATAAATAAAATCTTAAAAAAAAAAAAAAAGATTTAAATAAAAATAAAAATTAAAAAAAAAAAAAGTCCCATCCCATCTTGGCATTTAATACAGTCATCCTATGCCTGCATCATTTTTCTCCCTTTAATGTTACCCAACCACTTCCCTATACACTTCACGATTTTAGGGAGACTATTCACCTCTTTATTTTCTATGTAAGTTTATTTCCCTGGTATGGAGGCTGCTGCTGCCAAGGCTCCATGGTCAGAACAGACAGCGTCCAGGTCTGATAAGGGCACATTAAGCCATCAAAAGCTGCTGAAGCTGACTCAGTGACATTTCTCTCATCTATACACAGGAGAGCAAGCGGGAGAACGAAAGAAAGGAGAGAGAGGATTAGAGAGACAGAAGGACAGGGAGAGGAAGGGGGCGGGGAGAGCATGGAGCCAAAGAGAGCAGCTTTCCCCTTCTGATAAGTGTTTTCAGAAGGTGGTGCCTCCCCAAATCCAGAGAAGTAACAAGTTTTCACTGCTCCTGAACACTTAAAGAACCTGTGAAATTCTTCTGCTAGCAGGAGGAAAAGGAAGATTTTTTTAAGTGATTTGGCACTGCTAAGCTTTCCTGCCTCGAGTTGCTAATGTCTCTTAAGTTGTTCTAAATATTCATTTTGTTTTCTATATCCCGAGAAAGTAATGTAGATCTTTTTGTCTATTTGGACATCCAGTGCAAAATCCAACTGGTTAGATAATGGAATCAAGTATTACATTTAAAAACATTTACATGATAAAAAGAAAAGAAAAAGGAAACAAAATACCTATTTAAATAAATAATAAAACCATTTATTTACATGAAAAAAGTAACAGAATGGCAGATGTCATGACCGCACTACACTTTAAAGTATCTTGGAATGTTCTGTATGTTTTATCCTAAAATACCCAACGACCCAAGGGTTTTCCTGCAACAACAAAATACTCGACACAAATTAGGAAATTGAAGAACAACTTCTGAAAGTCATATATCGATAGAGAACACAGAATGCTTGATAACGCAGCATCCATGGATTTTAAAAAGTACTCTAGGGGCGCCTGGGTGGCTCAGTCCGTTAAGCATCCAACTCTTGGTTTCAGCTCAGGTTGTGATCTCAGGATTGTGAGATCAAGCCAAATGTCAGGCTCCACACTCAGTGTGGAGTCTGCTTGAGATTCTTTCCCACCTCCCTCTCCTTCCCCCTCTGCTCCTCCCCCTGCTTGTGCATGTGCTCTCTCTCTAAAATAAAAATTAAAAAAAAAATTCTTTAAAAATAAATAAATAGTACTCTACAATTACTTTTCCCTAGAAAAACACCTCCATCCTTTAAATTATAACTCTGAAGTCCCACCACTCATGCCTCTAACACAAGCCGCCTCAATTTAAAGCATGTAAACTCAAGTTTATGTTTGTGTAGTGACTGAATTTACTTACCCTGCCTTTGCATAGAATTGCATTATGATTTTAATGAAGAGAAACAGGACTGTGTGACAGCAACTTCCCTGGGACCCAGGTCGAAAGCTCCAGGGAGCACATTTTTCCCAGCAAGCTCACAGACAGTGCCCCGTGCCAGTCTGGGGCAGCAGTGAGAGGCCTTCAGCCACAGAACAAGAAGCCTGGCTTGCTTCTAAGGCTACAAATGGATTCGTCAACACCAACCCCGCAACAAGGAGGTACACGGCTCCAGACTGCGGCTCTCCATCATCCTCAGGGTTTAGCAGTCCACAGGCCTGAACCACAAATGAAGTAATGTTGACTACTATTAAAATAAAAAAAAGGGGGGGGGCACCTGGGTGGCTCAGTCGTTAAGCGTCTGCCTTCGGCTAGGGTCATGATCCCAGGGTCCTGGGATCAAGCCCCTCACCGGGCTCCCTGCTCGGCGGGAAGCCTGCTTCTCCCTCTCCCACTCCCCCTGCTTGGGTTCCCTCTCTCGCTGCGTCTCTCTCTGTCAAATAAATAAATAAAATCTTAAAAAAAAAAAAAAAAAAAAAAAAAAGAACATGTTTTCAGTACCTAATTCCCCCCAGGACTTGATTTGGTAGTCAAAGTGTCCAGCTTCTACTTTCAAGTGGATACATGAAAGAGAACAGAAGAGACAGCAAATGTTACATTGCAGGCAGAGAGCCAAGTGAACCTCCTACCCCACCCTGAGCCACCGGTCAGCCGCAAGCCGAGAGGGGGCTTCCTGGTGAAGCAGGTAGAAAAAACAATCCCCACCAACTCACAGGCCACATTTTATGAGAATCCTCAGAAGCCTGGCTGGAAGCTGCTTCGTGTCAGCTCACAGCTGGTGGCGTCCCCCTGCACCCGCTCTCCCTGCAAAGCCGCTCCCTGGGGAACTAGCAGGAGTGGCTACCTGAAGGCAGCCTGAGAGTCACAGGCAAGGAGCGGAAGGCCCACTGATCGGGCATGTTCTTTCTCCAGCTCAAGCCAGAGAGAGCTCAGGCCCACCCTGTCCTTGGTTCCCTGGACACCTTGACTAAATGCTGTTTGGATTATTTAAGGAGAGGAAAAAAAAAAGTGTGACCGCTTCACAAGTTAAAAGATTTTAATGAAACTGTACGAGCCAAGTGGCCCAGTGGGATGAGGATGGATTCTGGGGGTGGGACAGTTATTGCCGGACTGAGGGACCACCACTTCACCTCTCTGGACCACTGTTTTCTTATCTTTGAGCCGAGGTGCTTCCAACACTGGCTGCAGGGCAAGCAACCGCACGGGGGAGTTGCAACAGCATGCACGTGTGTGGGGAGACTAAAGGTGCAAACTGCGTTGGTCCCAGTGACCCTTGAAGATGCCCTCTGGAGGCGCCACCCTGGCATCCCTCGTGGCTGTGCCTCCCGCCGCAGTCGGAACACACCGCATTCCTTCACTCACAACACCAGAGGCAGAAGGCGGCCGGCACAGGAGACCCATGCTACTGAACACACGTGCGTGCACACCCGCGTTTCTGGGCGGTGGGAGGCTCACCACCAGCAGAACGCGAGGACTGATGGTCATGTGGCCAGAGCGGACCCCTATCTCCCATCTCATCTCCGACTCACTTGGATGCACACTTTCACTGACTGGAGTGACAAGAAAAACCAGTCTCGCTACCGAAAGAGTAACTCCTCCAAATAAGTACATCTGAATCCACTCCAGCTGAAAAATGGCAATGAGGTAACTGTGCCCGGACCCCCCTACGCCTTGTGCCTGTCCTCCAATCACACACACACACCCAGGCCAGTCCTCGGAAGACCAGGAGCGTGCTTCAGTCATCTTGTGTCACCAGTGACATTTCTCCAGGAGACAATATCTAACACGGCTATTTCCCCGCTGCTTCCGATCAGCCATGCGCTCGCCATCATGACAAGCCACTGAAAAACCAGGGCCAAATGTCCTAGAGCATGAATTTTACTGGAGATCGGGGAAGAAAAGCTAAATAATTAACCTGATGATTTAAAACATTTAATATTAAAATAAAAGAGATGTATTAGAGAGTGGAATTTTTTTAAAATTTGTGAGAATGGTTTAAATAAAACACAAGACGGCACAGAAATTCCAACTTCCACCTTTCTCTCTCCTTCCACCCCCCTCTCCCCTTCCCCAATGCCCTTGAGCGTTCCTATCTGCTCTCCTTTGGTGTTAGGGGTATTTAGTGAAAGTTTAGAAGTTTAAGAATAATGTTCTCCCGCAGAGGCCCTTAGTAATAAATATTAGCTGAATGAATGACCAATTCTCTTTTCTGGGAGAGTAAGAATATCAGAAGGAGGAAGAAACCCCCACTTTCTCTTCTTGGCAGCAAGGAGGTGAATGTAATGTACACACAGTAATTTACACAAGACAATTTGTACTCTACATTCACAAACGACATTCACGGAGCTGTAAGGCGTTCTCTATAGTTAGAAGCAGTCCTGGAAAGAG